AACTGACATATCTGGTTTGAGTGGACTGACGGTTTTAAAAATTCTAGGTGTTACACCTGAGTGAATGTGACAGGTTAGACCATATAAATTCAATTACTTCTATTGAGTGTTCTGATGGTTTCTGGAGTTCTGTAAAAATTTTTTTTTTAGTTTTAGTCCACATGCACACTGGATGTTTTTGCACTGCTGCTGTTTTTGGTCTTTGGCATTTTTTTCTACAACGAGTAAACTCCCTAGCATGTTATCCTATGTGTCTTTCATACACACATAGGCTTTAACACTTTTACCTGCCACCCTATAGCAGATATACTGCTACAGGGTTGGCAAGGGTGCACAAAATCAAGAATGATTTTGCATTTCTGGGTAGGGGGGGCACACGAGCCGCGTGCACTCTAGCACCTGCCCTACACTGTGCCGCTAATTGCGACCTTGGCTTTTAGTCACCGAGTCCCGGACGGTGATTACTGTTGCCCTAATAAATTCACGTTGGCACTTGGTGATTGCCGAGTAATACCGACGGAGGGAGAGAACTGTATGTAAACAATACAGTTCTCTCCCCTGTCCAGCTCCAGCACACTGCTTTGTATGGCTCTGCATAGCAGAACCATACAAAGCAGTGTGCTTACAGTGTAAAGCACACACACAGCTTACAGTAAAACAGCACACAGTTAACCCTTTGATCACCCCATATGTTAACCCCTTTCTGGTCAGTGCCATTGTGTCAGTGCTTTTTATTAACACTGATCACTGTATTGGTGTCACTGGCGATGTCAGTGACACCGAATCAGTTCCCCTGGTGTCAGAATGCCCACCAAATTCCAGTATATATGCCGCCATTTGTAAAAGCTATAACTTTTATGTAAACCAATTAATTTACTCATATTAGGATTTTTTTTAGCAAAGACATGTAGCAAAATACATTTTGGCTTAAATTTATGATGAAATTAGATTTTTTTAATTTTTTTTTTACTGGACATGTTTAATAGCAAAATGTCAAAAATATATATTTTTTTTCCAAAATTGTTGCTTTTTTTTATAGTGCAAAAATAAAAAAACACAGAGGCAATCAAATACCACTGAAAGAAAGCTCTACTAGTGGGAAAAAAAGGACGTAAATTTAATTTGGGTGCAGCATTGCATGACCGCGCAATTGTCAAAGTAACACAGTGCTCTAACGCAAAAGATGACCTGGTCAAGAAGGGGGGTAAATCCTCTGGAGGGAAAGTGGTTAATCAGTGTTTTTTGGCAGGGGTGTTTCTTGGCTGGAAAAAAAAAACAGAACTAGTGGGTTTCTAGGGGAGTTTTTTAGCTGTAAAAACGCTCTAACGTTGGTAAACATGGCAAAACATGGTAAAACACGGTAAATGAGCATTTTTGGCTTTTTTGAGCAAATATGTTATTTTATTTAGCTAAAAACCGCTAAAACTGCGGCTAAACACTAATGCAAAAACGCTAAAAAATGCAGAAAAACTTTTAACTTTTTTAATGTGATTTTATACAGCTAACGCTACTGATGTTTTTAAAATGCAGAGGGTGCATGAGGACTTACTCTTAGTAAACATTTCAGTGCAGTAATTTTTTTTCTGTTACCACTGTACCATTATTTTGCTAATTTCTATAACATTTACTTATTCTACATTATTATACTATAACAATTACGTACCTTCTTTTTTTTAAAGGAGAAAACTCTATATATGAACTTGATCATGGACAAAAAGGAAAGTCTGTAGCAATGATGGTGTATGTTCACTAATAGCAGTCTCTGAAGGTCACAGTGTTTAACCCGAATGACACCTTTCTGATCATATGTCATAGCTAAAATACTTCAAGTTATTATTTGAGGTGTGACTAGGAGTAAACAAAGTAGGAATGACGTTTTTAGTTGCCATAAGGAGATTCTATCAATCAATCTATAATAAAGTGATTGACATATTCAGTTTGTAATACTTTCATTGATACCAAGGAGCATATTTATAAAGCAGTAAATGTAACAGTCACCAAATATTCACTGAAAGTGAATCTTCCTGGAGCATGCGCTTTAAATGAATTACCACCTGTAAATGTTTGGTGAATGTCACAGTCACTGCTTTATAAATATGTCTCTAACAATTATCAAGACTGATCTATATGACTACAACACAAGTCACAATACTGTAAGGCTGCATGTTTGTTTTTTTTTTTTTTGCGTGTGTTTGAGCTTTTTGTACAATGTATTCCAAGTGGTTTGGAGCTTTTGTGCTTTTGTACTAGCCAATAGAGAAAACTATAACCTGTTACCTAATTTGTTGCTGTGTGTTTCTCCTTTCAGCTGCTTCAAAAAACACACCAATCTGCCTGAATTTAGCTACAAAAGTAGCTCCCAAATTTTTTTTGAGCTTCATGGCTCTTTCACATGGACGTTCCGATCAGGTCCGCCTGCCGATTTTTAATTCTCCTCTATGGAGCGGCAGGTTGTAAACGGACATGTGTCTGTTTATACCAGCCGACATCCAATCTGACCCGTCCAGTCAAAAAGGGATGGATGGGTGTCCAATTCCCCTTCCGTCTGTCGGATCGGATCAGATGAAAACGGACAGGCGGTCTGTTTTCATTCAACCACCATTGACGAGAGCAAGCAGCTCTGTGTCTGATCTGCAGCAGCAGAATGAACACAGAGCTGTCATCTGCTAGCTCAACGGGGATCAGCAGAGCGATCCACCGCAGAGCAAGCGGGGATCAGCGGAGCGATCCACCGCAGAGCAAGCAGATCCGCTAAACGGGTCCGCTCCATGTGACAGGACCCTTAGGCATTATGGAGTGGAGATGTGAACCAGCAACATAGAAAATCATTGATTTTTTTTCTACCTGAGTGTTTTGGAGCTTCGAGCTAAAAAACGCTCAGGTGCAAATGAGCCTTACGTGATGTTATTCCAGAGCTACAGATATATGTCTTATTTATATCAGAATTTTCTACATGTAAACTATATTTTATTTTTTTTTTCCCTAAGAAAATAATGGCTAGTATTCCAGTCTTTGATAACAGCTATCATTTCCTGTATCTCCATTTAGGTTTTGCCAGATATAGAATTACAAATATTTATACACAATCTAAAGATGGAAAAAAACTATAATACTGTGGGGTGACTACATCCCATCACAGTATACAATTATACAAAAAGTCCCTAGACTAGATCTAAGCTTTCCACCCTTCTTATAGTGAGTCTCTCAGGTGTGACAAAAGGTTGTGTCATTGTAAATTTGACAGACATTTCAGATATTGTTTTATTTTATACATTTGTACTGCCATTGTTAACCATTTCCCTCCTGAGGATTTACCCCCTTAATGACCAGGTCTTTTTTTGCTATTCTTTGCTGCACTATTTTACTGGTAATTGCACGGTCATGCAATGCTGTACCCAGATGAAATGTACTTCCTTTTATTCACACAAATAGAGCTTTCTTTTGGTGGTATTTGATCACCTGTGCACTTTTTATTTTTTTGTGCTATAAATAAAAAAAGATGAAAATTTTGAAAAAAAAATATTTTTTACTTTCAGCTATAAAAAATATATAGTAAACTCAAAGTTGGTCATAAATGTAGGCCAAAATGTATTCTGCTACATGTTTGTGGTAAACAAATCCCAATAAGTGTATATTGATTGCTTTGTGTGAATGTTATAGCGTCTACAAACTATGGTATAGATAATAGAATTTGCATAGCTTTTACTTTCTGACTGCCTATCACATTCCTTTAGGTGCTAAAATACCAGGATAGTACAAACACCCCCAAATGACCCCTTTTTCAGAAAGTAGACACCCTAAGCTATCTGCTGAGAGGCATATTAAGTCCATGGAAAATTTATTATATTTGCACATTTTTAGAAAATGACAAAAAACATTTTTTTTTTCATACAAAGTTGTCACTTAAATTATATATTTCTCACACAAAAGCCATGGGTATATGTGGAATTACACCCCAAAATACATTCTGCTACTTCTACTGAGTATGGGGATACCACATGTGTGAGACTGGCCACATTCAGGAGCCTGAAAACCAATTACCACTTTGAAAGCCTGCAAAGGTGCATAACTTCCTCATTTCACTTCCTCACTACCTATCACAGTTTCGGAGGCCCTGAAATGCCAGGATAGCACCAACCCCCCCCCCCCCCCCCCCAAATGACCCATTTTTGGAAAGTAAGCACCCCATGGAATTTAAAAAGAGGCATGGTGAGTATTTTTCAGATCTCATTTTATCTTGCAAGGTTTAGAAATATAAAATAAAGAAAAGGAAAAACATGCTTTTGCTTTCTTTCTTCATTTTCCAAAAACTTGCGGCAATAAACGAGATCTGCAAAATACTCATCATGCTTCTTATCAAATTCCTTGGGGTGTCTACTTTCCAAAAAGGGGTCATTTGGGGGGGGGGGGGGGGGGGTTGCTATCCTGGCATTTCAGGGCCTCCAAAACTGTGATAGGTAGTCAGGAAGTGTAATGAGGAAATAAAGCCCTTTAAAAGCCTGAAGATGCTTATTGGATTTTGGGGTCCTTTACTTGGCTAGACTGCCAAAAAGTCACTCACATGTGGTACCCCCATACTCGGGAGAAGTAGCAGAATGTATTTTGGGGAGTAATTCCACATATACCCATGGCATGTGTGAGCGATAAATCATTTAAGTGACAATTCTGTATTAAAAAAATTTTTTTTTTTGTCATTTTCCAAAAACTTGTGGTAAAAAATATATTTTTCTTAAGTTATTTTGATTTTTTAAACTATTTTTACACTTTCCCTTTCATTTTTTTTTATTTGATAACTTTTAATGCTATCAGAAGGAATGCAAATATCCCTATAACTTCAATGGGCATTGTTGTATATGCTTTTTTGAGAAATCTGGGGTCTATCAGACTCTAGATATCTCTTCTGCCCTTACATTATTTAATATCACCAAGATCGGTGTGATCAGATGCTTTCCCAATTTACAAATGGCGCTGTTTATATCCTGTGAAACTGAAAAAATTAAATGCTTGTAGCTTCCAATTTCTTATACTATAGAGATGATTGGCACCATTCTGGTCTCCAATCAGCTCTATGGTCATCTGGCAAAAACACCGACTGCATTCTCAGGTTCCCCTGATGGCACGGGACTGCTCGAGAAGGCCGTGGAAGGCAGCGGGGGAGGGGGCATCGTCTCCCACTGCTTGTAAAAGCAATCCTAAAGCTAATTAGCCACTAAGATTGCTTTTACATGAAAGCCGATCGCCAGCTGAAAAACACCATACCAGGATGATGCTTGCAGCTGCATCAAAGTTCAGTGATGTACCAGTACGTCTCTGGTCCTTGTTGGGTGTATATGCTATGTTCTTTTTTTTTTATGCAGCCTGTAGGCTGAATGAAAATAAATCAATCAAGGGGTTAAATGTGATTACTGGTGTACTGACGGGCAATCTAGGAGGGGCACAATAACTGCGGGAGCACGAATCACGTATATTTACATGATTTTGTGCAGCTGTGCCGCCCTGTAACAGTATTGCTACTATAAGATGGCGCGGAAGCAATTAAACATGTCCAGTCAGAAAATTTAAAAAATCAAATTTCGTCTAAAAGTTATAGTGTTTACAAATGGCGGTATAGTGTTTTACTAGGGGGCGGGGGGGTGTGCTTCACTGTAAGCACACTGCTCTGGATGGCTGTGCTCGGCCATCCAGAGCAGTGTGCCTGAGCCAACAGGGAGGAGGACTATTAGTAAATGAATCAGCCCTCCTCCCCGTGAAGCCTGAATGGAATCCTCTCAGGACATTGCTAAGTGAGGCCTAGTCATTACTGCTCTCCACCATCACAGGAGTGAGCTCTCAGACATTGAGCTTAGAGCTATTACATCAGGGGAAATAAAGAGCATGTTAGGGGGTCTGTATCAAAGAAAAAGCTCACTCCTGTGATGGTGGGGGTGAGCAGTAATGACTAGGCCTCACTTAGCAATGTCCTAGCAATGTGCTGGAAGTATTCCAGTCAGGCTTCATGAAGTACGTAAATGGCCTATACCTATAGCAAAGGCATTATTCAACTTTAGTCAGAGACACACAGTTTGTTTTTATCCACAGACACCCCTTAGCTGCATAGCAGTTCTTTGGTGAAGGTGAACTATCCCTTTAAGTAATTAGCAAGAGTATATGTTGTTTCAATGCCTTTTATTTAACTCCTTTACACTTTTTTCCAAGAGCTGCTGAAGTCAGAATGATCAAACTGCTCAATACTCCCTACCTGTAATAATTCAACATGGCCTCACTCCTCATTCATTTTCCTACTAAAAATCTTAGTTGACTTTCATGTTGATTTTCCAGCTGCACCCAGCTAACTCCCTGATATTTATTTACTAAGGAAGTACAGAATGTTCATAGAGCCTTGTTAACTTTAACCCCCTTCCTGCCCAGGCCAATTTTCAGCTTTCAGTGCTGTCACATTTTGAATGACAATTGCGCGGTCATGCAACAACACTGTACCCAAACAAAATTTTTATAATTTTGTTGAGACAGATATAGCTTTCTTTTGGTAGTATCTAATCACCACTGGGGTTTTTAATTTTTTGCTAAACAAACTAAAAATTAGTTTCTGTTATAAATTTTGTAAATAAGTAATTTTTCTCCTTCACTGATGTGCGCTAATGAGGCTGCAGTGAGGGGCACTGATAGGCTGCACTGATGGCCACTGATAGGCGGCACTGATGAGGAGGCATTGACAGGCATCACTGTTGGGCATTGACAGGCAGCACTGATGGGCACTGAAAGGCAGCACTCATATATGACACTGATAGGCGGCACTGATTGGAACTGTTAGGCGGCACTGATGGGCACTGATTGGCAGCACTGATGTGCACTGATAGGTGCCACTGATAGGTGACCCTGACTGGCATTGATAGGCCGCCCTGACTGACAGCACTGACTGGCACTGAAAGGCAGCTCTGATGGGCACTGATATGTGGCATTGATGTGACTGATGGGCACTTGTATGTGGCATTGATGGGCACTGACAGGTAAAATTATGGGTACTGATAGGCGGCACTGATGAGGAGGCATTGATGGGCATTGACAGGCATCACTGGTGGGCATTGAACAGGCATCACTGGTGGGCACTGAAAGGAAGCACTTATATATGACACTGATAGTTGGCACTGATGGGCACTGATAGGCGGCACTGACTGGCACTGATTGGTGGCACTGATAGGCGGCCCTAACTGGCAGCACTGACTGGCACTGAAAGGCAGCTTTGATGGGCACTGATATGTGGCATTGATGTGAAAGATGGGTACTGCTATGTGGCATTGATGGGCACTGACAGGTGGAAATTATGGGCACTGACAGGTGGCACTGATGGGGTTACACTCATCATCAGGGCACTGATGATCAGTGCCCTGATGATCAGTGTACATTTCCCCAATGCCGCTTACCGGCTCTCCTCAGGACTGCCGATAACTGGCATTTCCTATTTACATGTGATCAGCTGTGATTGGACACAGCTGATCACATGATAGAGCCTATATTATCGGCCCTTTACTGCGATCCCCTGGGGGCGTGCATACCCAGCTGGAGTGGGAGGACGTAATTTCCTTATATGGAGGGCGGGAAGCAGTTATTACCCAATATGAGCAGGGGATGTTAGAAAATAAAGTTTACTCTATACATGATTAGATGCTTAAAGTGAACCAAGCTTTACTTTATTTTGCTAAATGAATATTCTATACTTCTTTGGTAAATTATACCCCTTTGGAACATGTATACAGGTAATAGGTTCAGACTTTACTAGCTTTCAAGTGGTTTTAAATGCAGAAGGTTTTTTCCCCATAATGCATTCTATCCATTTAGGGCCCGTTCACACTATAGCAGAGAGCCGCCTTTTCCTGCGTTTGAAAAATGCTGCTCTCTGTAAGGGCACACAGAAAAGAATGCTTTTCTATGTGCCCAATTCACACTTTTCCAGCAGCTGTCACCTGCATAGCGGTGCAGAAATCTGCAAGACTGCTTCAGTTTTCCGCACCGTTCCACAAGTGAATTGTGCAAAAAAAAAAAAAAAACACACACACAAAAACATCCACAGAAGGGGGAATCTGATAGTCGGGGGTGATTGGTGAGGCAGGAGGAAGCAAGAACAAGAACCAATCTTCCTGTATGGCTCTGTGCAGCAGCTGAAAGGTGCTTCTTCTTTCAGCAGCTCCATGGAAAGCAATACAGCAAGATCAGTTTTTGTAATCCCCCCCCCCCCCACTGCACCGATCACCCTCGACTAATCAGATTCCCCCCTGCTTCCCCAACCCATTGTGTGCTCCCCTGGCCTCTTCCCCTCTGTCTGATTGAACAGAGTGAGTGATCTGTACTGATCACTTGCTCTGTTCATTCAGAACTGAAGCATAGTAAATTATGATTGCTATGCTTCAGTTTGTTAATGAACAGGAATCTCTGTCTGTTCATTCTTCTGCAGTGCAGGTGAGGCTACAGAGGAAAGGACAGGGAATGCTTCCTTAAAGTGAGACTTCAGGGATCTGTTTAGACTCCTTTTATCTCACAAAGCCCCCAAAAAGGGCAGTTTAAAAAATTGTAAAAATTAGATTAAAAAAATAGTAGAAAAATATAAAACAAAATTGTAAAAAATAATACAAAATAAAATAATAAAGATAAAAAATAAATAATAAAAATAAACTACTGACACTGTCCGCTGCTCTACTGACATCATCCACTGCTGTAACACCATCCACTGCCCTCCAGCCCCCTATACCAAAAGTATTGTGAAAAAAAGCTTAAAAAATAAAAAAAGGAACAAATAATTATAAATATTTTTAAAATACTTAAAAAAATGAAGGGCTCATTCATATGGATTCTTTTGCACCTAGTGTGAATGAGTGGTTTGTTTGTGCATCTGGAGCCACCTGATACTCTATGGGGACTCAGAGGTGAAAAAAACAGCCTGAGTTCCTAATTTGACAGTGTGTGGATGCAGGTGAGTGGTCCCAAATGCACACTGTCTGTGTTTGAGGGCATACACCTGCAACCACATGCCTGTCAAATTAGGACATACACCTGTGTTCGCACAGTTGCTGCATCCCCATAGCATAACACAGGCTCCCAGCATTCAGCTTCAGCCACATTAAGAGCCCATTCACACTTGTGTGACTTGTCATGCAACTTTGGGGTCCAAAGTTGTATGACAAGTCGCACCACATATTTCCCAATGAGTACCACTCATATATGTGCGACATAACTTGCAGTGACTTAGAAGTAGTTCCTTTTTCATACGAATTGAGGGCCATAAAATGTAAGCCCTCCAAAGTCACATGAAATTTGCACCTGAATGATATACATGCGACTTGTGTGTGACTTTGTACAGCACAAACAATCATCCTTGGTCAAAGCCAAAGTTGCACCAAAGGCGCAATCATCCAAAGTCGCATCAAAGTTGCACTGTAAAGTCGCAATGTAAATCGTGTGATTTTGAAGTCGCACAAGCGGGAATGGAGCCTAGAAAAAAATTTTGGTTCACACTTTTTAGGCCAAAGTGCCCATATGCGTTAGCCCAAGACATCCTTCAGACAGAGATTTTTTTATTAACGCAATACAGTTTTACTTTTTAGATTTAGCTGGAATGTTGTAAGATATATTGTGATTGTGTTGTGTCCACTAATACTGATTGTATTTTTTTCTTGTGAAAAGGAAATGATGACACAGGAAATAATCAGAGAACTCACAGAAAAAATGTAGCTAAACGCAATATGAGTTTAAAAAATGTGCATAAAAACTCTGGTGAACACTCATGAGAATGCAGGTAAATACAAATGTTTCCATATGAATTTTTACCCACATTTTTTTATTTGCACAAGTGTGAACCAGCCCTAAGGGTAAAAAGCCTTCTACATGCAGCTTCTCCCACCCAGCACTTATATTTCCCTGAGTCCAAACTTAATCCAACGAGAGCAGTGGTTTTCTCACTTCTCATTGGCTAAGAGGCAGCAGCAGGAGCCATTGGTATTTATTTATTTCAGGTGCTTATATAGCACCGTCAATTTATGCTTTGCTTTACATATATATATATACATATATATATATATATATATATATATATATATATTACATTCACATCAGTCCCTAGCCCTCAATGGGCATACAATCTAAGGTCCCTAATTCACTTTAAAACATGCACATACTAGGGCCAATGTAGACAGGAGCCAATTAACTTACCAGCATGTCTTTAGAGCTTTAGAGTTTTGGGAGGAATACGGAGAAACCCACACAAGCACAAGGAGAACATGCAAACTCCAGGTAGGTGGTGCCGTGGTTGGGTTTCAGACCAAAGACCCTAGTGCTGCCAGGTAGGGGGACAATTATTTAGCCAATGTGCTGTATTCAGAGGTAGCAGTATATGAAATTGTGTATGCACTCTTGCAATGACTGTCGGATGCACTTCTGCGCATGGACTATAACATTTTTGTTTTCAGTGTTTTTACAGTCACCTTTAGAGATATGAGTGCACACTTCATGCTAAATAGCATGTAAAAAAACATGCAAAAACGACTGACCAATGTCAGATAGTCCCAAAAAATTACAGAAAATACATTTTTTATTATAAGTACCACTTAGCTGATGAATGATGGGACACAAACGAGTATGCTACTTAGCAAACCATATTTGTTACCAAATTATCCTTACATATGCAGCCAGTCATAGCTGTGTGGATCTGCATTGTGTTCATCTTGGCTTGTGGCCCCATTGATGCGACAGGGTATGTGCATGCATAAAAATTAGGCCCAATGTATAGAAAATGTGGAGGATCAGAAGGGCAACCAGACACCTATGATCCAATAAAAGGCTCATTCATATTTCTCTTTTAACAGGGATCCAACAGGTATGGTATTTGTATAGTTACATTGGCCCTAGCTGGACCAATTTAGTTATATAAAAATATCCATACCTGGAATTCTTTAAATATACTAACCTTCCCCTCGGCTTCTGTTATGGCACTATTCGAGGGTGACATCATGTTCCTTCCAAAACGGTCCCAGGTTAGCCCAAATCTGGTTAAAACACTGCATTTGAGCATCATCTTGCATGTTTTAGACTACTCAGTATTCCCTGGGATCTTGTCAGAAGAAAAATAATGTCAAAGTTATGTATATTTATATTTGAGAAGGAGGAGGGAGCAAAGATAATAAGTGGACCTTGATTGTAAGTCAAGGTCTGCTTTAAGGTGAACCTTTTAAGAGCCCAAAACATATGTAACCATAAACCAGAAAATAGAATTTCATGTTTAGGAAACCCAAATAGCAGCCCAAATGACAGGCTGAATACTGGAGAAAAAATGGATACTTGCCCCATATGTGAGCAGGAGAATTGATCCACTTCATTATGGCTGACAGTGTATAGAAATAATAAATTATAATGCATATCTAACAACATCTATTTAGAGTGCATTTCTGCAGTTGCATGTGTAATCCCAAATGTTCCTCTGGGGTTATATCATCATGGATGTACTAGATGGGTGCTATCTTCTGTTGAACCAATCAAAGTGCTTCCTGGTCTTGTTTAAACAGTGACAGCTAAAACAAAAGAGTATGACAAGAGCTCTTTGATATTTGTTTTCTAGCAGAAGATAACACTAAGACCTACGCTGGACTTGAACCTGGCACCCTGACTACCTTTCTACATTTGTTTTCTCACCTTCTGTCATAGCATGAACAACATAAACACATTTTTTAATGACCCAATGTTTAGCCTCCTTACAGAAGTGGACTGTAGACTGGAAATGAAAAAAAAAAATAAAGGCTGAATGAATCCACAAAATGTACATTTTGCCACATAACAGACAAAATTGTATAAAATTTATATTATACATTGTATAAAAATAAGAAAGGAGAAAGCAGCTTTGATAACAGACACCGAGCAAGAACTTCACAGCAGAGGGCCTAACTCATTTTTTAACTAGATCCAGAACAAAATGATTCCTTTTAGCGTTTTTGCAGCTGTCTGTCAAACAGATTAGTACATAGAACTAATTACTATTCACTTAATTGTTAAAAAGTCCCTTTTTTGCCTTAAAATTAGAGTTCTTTAACCCCACCCTTCCTCCAAAGAGACTTCTTGCAAATCTTTTTCATGCAAACTATTTGAAAAGTGTCGTATCAATTCCTTTGACACTTCAATGATATTGCTACATCAAACAGTACAAACACATG